CCATTATGCCATCTGCTGGTCCCAAATAAAATAATTTTTAAAAATGTTGGCAGGGGTGAGGGGTGGGGTGAGTGGACTAGCAGGGTGGAATAAGGCCCAACCCTTCAGCTTGGGCTCTCCTCCCTGCTAGCCATGCGACCTCGGTAACTCCTCCCTTCCACGCTCCGGCTTCCTCGTCTGCAGAGTGGAGACAGTATTGTCTGGTTGCAATAAACTGCGATCCTGCGATTGGGCGGTCTGGCTCAGAAGGGCTGGGGAGATGGTGAGTGATCACTCTGTCCTCCCCTCTCTCCTCAGACTCAGGGCAGGATCCTGTTCCTGACCGTCTGTGCAGCTGGCATCGGTGGCACTTTTCAGTTTGGCTACAACCTCTCCATCATCAATGCCCCGACCCTGGTACGTACCCTCTGTGCCCACTGAGCAGATGGGCAAGGGCTGATAGCTGCCCACCATGGGGCTTCGGCCCAGAATCTGCTTGGTGGCATTTTCTCCCACGTGTCCCTCTCTGTTGGGATGTCCCTTGGACTCCTGCCATGTTCAGACTGAGCTCTGCATCCTCCCCCGAACCAGCACATCCTCCTGAGTCCTTGACCTCAGCCAGAGACTTCCACCAGGTAAAAGGAGTCAGCCCGACTCCTCCCTCTCTCGGGCCCCAAGTCTTTCCTGACTACCTAGGACTCAGCCATCTCTCCCATATCTCTGCAATGGCCCCTGTTCTGGTCCAGCCTCGTTGGCCTCCCTAACTTCAGTCTCTCCCCTTCTTGATCCTCTCACATTTATCAAGCCACTCCTGTGCCCAGAAACATTCTGTGGCTGGGACCGACGAGTGGCGTGGTGGTTAAGGGTGTGGTGTTGGATTCCCACATGGTTGCCCATGGTTCGAATCCCGGACCTGGCAGTGTGCTTTCTCACTTTCTCTCTCTCTCTCTGGTCAAATTAAAATAAATAAATGATAAAAAAAACAAACAATTTTTAAAAAGACCTACTTCTAGTACATGTTCAAATTTATCTCTAAATTGATCTTCTCCATAAATTGCATCTGTTTAATCAAAGCCTTATAAACTGTAGAAAGCTAAAACTGAGTGTTAAAAACCTGCATTGATTAAATACATTGCACATATTACTTACTGGTTAAAAGGAACTGTTCACACCTTCAAAATGTTATTTGCAGAGGAGTTTATTAAAAACAAAATATAGAAAACACAAAAATAGACAAGGTACTTTTTAAAGTACAAAATACAAACAAGCTAAAGAACACTGGTTAAATTTTAATTTATATTATCACATACATATATTGTCACATACATATATGGGAACAAAAAATATATGTATATGATACCATGCACATATCAGAACAAATATGTGTAACTTAAAATTTTGTCTATGGATAAATCCTTCCTTTTAAAAACGTAATTAAACTAAAGCCTTTGAAATAAGTTTTTGTATGTTTGAATATTAAAGAGTTTCAGAAGTGAACTTTATAATATATTCTTTATCAATATATTTCTTCAGAATTAAATACTATCTACTATTACTTATTTAATTGTACTTATCATTATTATTATTTTTTTAAATTCACCAGAGAGAAATAAAGAGAGGGAGGGAAAGTGAGAAAGCAAGCTGCCAAGTCCAGGACTTGAACTGTGGTCGGCCACATGAGAGTCAGCACCTTAACCACCATGCCACCTGCTTGCTCCAGGAGTCAGGCTCTTATTTAGAATTTTTTATTTAATTTTATTTAATATTATCATTATCATTAAAAAAAATTTTTTTTGGAGAAGTTTTTGCTATAGTGCATGTGCGTGCGCCAGAAAGACAGAGAGAGACAGAGAGACAGAAAGTGAGAAATCACCCCCCAGGGGGGATGGCCACGCTGCAATCCCTTCTCCTCCATTCTCCTCTCGGGATCTTGGGCACGCACGCACACGTGCCTGGCATGAGTTTAAGCCACCGGGTCCGGGACTTGAACCGCAGTCAACTACATGGGAGTCCAGCAATGTAGCCATTACGCCATCTGCTGGTCCCTCCTTTGTTTATTTTAATTTGACCAGAGAGAGACAGAGAGAGATTAGGAAAGTGAAAAGCAAGCCACCAGGTCCAGGACTTGACCACCGTTGGCCATGGGGGAGTGTCCAGCGCCTTAACCACCATGCCACCTGTGGTCCCAGGGATGTGTATTTAATGGAGTACTTCTGCGGGCTAGTCACGGTCAGTGTCCCAAGGAAACACTCAAGGTAAGTCATGGAAGCTTAGACACCCCAAAGGATCATTCAGAAAGGATTGAATGGGGGCATGGAGAACACACGGCCAGGGAAAATGCAGTAATGTCGGGCCAGCAGTGACATAGCGGTTAAGGTGCTGGACTCCCATCTGGCCAGCCCTGGTTTGAGTCCCGGACTGGTGCTTTGCTTTCTCATTTTCCTTCTCTCTCTCTGTCTCTCTCTGGCGAGCACACACGACCTATAGCTAACTTAAAAAGTAGTAATAAACACGGGCCCGGCAGGTGATGTGGTGGTTAAAGGTGCTGGACTCCCACATGGCTGACCGTTGTTCGAGTCCTGGACCTGGCGGCTTGCTCTCTCTCTCTGCCTCTCAGTCTCTTGCTGGTCAAAAATTGAAAAATGAGACCAGCAATTGGCGTAATGGCTATGTTGTTGGCCTCCCATGTAGTCAACTGCGGTTTGAGTCCCAGACCCAGTGGCTTAAACTCATGCCGGGCGCGTGTGCGTGCGTGCCCAAGATCCCGAGAGGAGAATGGAGGAGAAGGGATTGCGGCGTGGCCATCCCCGCTGGGGGGTGATTTCTCGCTTTCTGTTTCTCTTTCTCTGTTTTTCTGGTGAGCACATGAGCCCTATAGCAAAAACCTCTCCAAAAAAAATTTTTTTTTTAAATGATAATATTAAATAAAATTAAATAAATAACTCTAAATACTTGCTGGCCTCCAACCTCCTTCTTTTTTCTTCCTCTTTCTTTTTCTTTCTTTCTTTTAGCTTTCCCCCGTAGGACAGCTGGCATTTCTTAAAAACAATTTTTTTTTAGCTTTTTGCCATAGTGTACCTGTGCTCACTGGAGAGAGACAGAGAGAAAGAGATAGGGAAAGTGAGAAATCACCTCCCCCAAGGAGGGGTGACCACACTGCAATCCCTTCTCCCCCCTTCTTCTCTTGCAATTCTGGGCACACACGCACATGCACCTGGCATGGTTTTCAAGCTGCCAGTCTGGGACCCAAACCGCAGAGTTGGCTATGTGGGATCGAGCCCCTTAACCACCATGCCACCTGCTGGCCCGGGGCTGAATCCTTGACCTGTGTGATTAGATGCTAACTCGTGTCAGGACTAACTAAAATCGTGGTACCCCCGTCTGGTGTCTGGAGAACTGGAGAGCTGCTCGGTGAAAATTCACCCCACGCATTTGCTGTCAGAGTGGCGTGCGAGTGTAGACAGGTGGTATTTTCCTGGAGAGGGAAATCGGAGGGTGCCTAGTGCTAGGCTGCTGGAGATGCTGCACTGTGCCCTGCCCAAGGAAATGCTCGGACCACCTGCTCCAGCCCGTGGGGAGCAGCGCTGCTCAGGAGACCAGATGGCTGTTCTGCCGGGGGCCCAGAGCCTGGGTGTCCAGACAGCCTGTCTTGCCTAGTGCCAGCCCTGGAGGCTGACCGGCATCTCTGTCCACAGCACGTTCAGGAATTCATCAATGAGACGTGGCTGGCACGGACCGGTCGGCCACTGCCCGACCACCTGGTTCTGCTTGTGTGGTCCCTCATCGTGTCCCTGTACCCTCTGGGGGGCCTCTTTGGAGCACTGCTTGCAGGACCTCTGGCCATCACGCTGGGAAGGTAAGTGTGTCCCCCAAGAATGCCTTTTCTTTTAAAAAAAAATATTGTTTTATTTATTTACTTTCTTTTCCTGGAGAGATTTTTGCTATAGGGTGCGTGTGCTTGCTGGAGAGACAGAGAGACAGAAAGTGAGAAATCACCCCCCAGGGGGGATGGTCACACTGCAATCCCTTCCCCTCCATTCTCCTCTTGGGATTTTGGGCACGCAGGCACATGAACCCGGCATGCGTTTGAAGCCTCCAGGTCTAGGACTTGAACTGTGGTCTGCCATGTGGGAGTCCAGTGGCATAATCATTAGGCTGTCTGCTGCTCCGTTTATTTTATAAAGGAGTTTGGGAGAAGAATGCTTCATTGAAACGAGAAAAGCTGGGCCAGTAGGTGGTGTGGTTTACAACAGCTGGATCCCGCATGGCCAAGGGCGTGGTTTGAGTCCTGGACCTGGTGGCTTGTTAAATATTCAGGGTGTGTGTGTGTGTGTGTGTGTGCATGCCCAGAGTCCCAAGAGGAGAAAGGAGGAGAAGGGATGGTGGCGTGGCCATCCTCCCTGGAGAGTGATTTCTTGTTTTCTGTCTCTCTTTCTTTCTCTGTGCATGGCCATCCTCCCTGGGGGGAGGGGGGTGATTTCTCACTTTCCTTCTCTTTCTCTCTCCAGAAAGCAAGCAAGAAAGAAAAGGGAAGTCATAAAATTAGTCCCATCATTTCAAGCTGAGATGCGGGCAGAATGGAAAGTGATGATGGGGTACACTGAGAGGGGGGGTGACAGGACGCACCACGAGTGAGCCCAGGTCCAGGGGCTGGTGGGCATTTCGGTTCAGATTAGAGTAGGCGCCTAGAGACAACCCATAGGCGCGCATGCGCACGCACATGGCCAATCACAACCCCTGCCGTCTGGAGTTGCAAAGGGGGTGCCCAGGGACAGCCCCTCGGCACTGAGTCAGAACCTCTCCTGCCTGTGCTCCATTTACCCGAAGGAAGAAGTCCCTCCTGGTGAATAACGTCTTCGTGGTGGCCTCAGCGGTCCTGTTTGGCTTCAGCCGCGAAGCAGGCTCCTTTGAAATGATCTTGCTGGGACGGCTGCTCGTGGGCGTCAGCGCAGGTACCGGGAGGCCTGCTCCTGCCTCTCTTTCCGCAGCCGCTCATTCATTGATCCCCCTTAGTCATGCATTCTTTTTATTTATTTTATTTATTGAGAGGTTTTTGCTATAGGGCGCGTGCGCTCGCCAGAAAGAGACAGGGAGACAGAAAGCGAGAAATCACCCCCCAGGGGGGATGGCCACACCGCAACCCCTTCTCCTCCATTCTCCTCTCGGGATCTTGGGCATGCACGCAAGCTGGCCCGGGACTCAAACCAGGGTTGACTACATGGGAGTCCAGTGACATAGCCATTGCACCATCTGCTGGTCCCTATTTATTTATTTTTAAGTTTAACCAGAGTTGGACAGAGAGAGAAAGAGGGGAAAGTGAGAAAGCAAGCTACCAGGTCCAGGACTTGAACCATGTTCGGCCATGTGGGAGTCTAGCACCCTTAACCACCACGCTACCTGCTGACCCCAAAAGACTTCTTTCTTTGAAGTCCCAAGGGGTGGAGTTGGGGTCCTGACCCTAAGGCAGGGGAAGGGAAACCCTCAGAGCGTGTAGGCTGAGGGTGCAGCTCTTGGTGCCAGGACCTGGCAGGTGAGAGGCTGGGTGGTGTGGAGTGAGGCAGGGGAGACGTGGTGGGGGTCCTTCCTGGGGGCTGACGCATCTCTGCTGTGCATGTGTCCAGGTGTGAGCATGAACGTCCAGCCCATGTACCTGGGGGAGAGCGCCCCCCAGGAACTCCGCGGCGCTGTGGCCATGACCTCCGCCATCTTCACAGCTCTGGGGATCATGCTGGGGCAGGTGGTCGGAATCAGGTAAGCACCCCCATCTGCCCTGCAGTGCTTTCTGGGGGTGCTGGTGAAAACCTTTCTGGGCCTAAACTTTCCCACTACCCTCCAAGTAGACTGAGCCCTGCCCCTTGCATGAAAGCGTTGAAACTCTGCATCCATTGGGCCAAGACGGGAAACAGGTACTGGTCAGCCATACCTTGGTCTGAGCCATTTCCCCCCGTGCTCAGGACAGGGAGCAAAGAACAGGTCTCAACAGAGGAGATGGTGAAGAGTTAGGCTTTTAAAAAAAAAAATCATTATTTTGACTTTATTTTAATTTATTTATTTTAATTTGATCAGAGAAGGAACAGAGAGAAAGTGAGAAAGCAAGCCGCCAGTTCTGGGACTTGAACCACAGTCGGTCATGTGGGAGTCTAGCACCCTTAGCCACCATACCACTTGCCGGCCCAGGACGTTTTTTTCATTATTATTTTCTTTAATTTTTTATTTACTTATTTTTAAAATTTGACCAGAGAGGAACAGAGAGAGAGAGAGAAGAGAGAAAGTGAGAAAACAAGCCACCAGGTCTGGGACTTGAACCGTGGTCGGCCATGTGGGAGTTCAGCGTCCTTAACCACCACACCACCTGTCAGCCCCCAGAGTTGGACTTTTAAAGGGGGGTGTGTACTGTTCATCCCAGAAAAAAAAAGAGAGAGAGGGCAGAACCAGACCCCTGGGAAGAGGTGTTGCAGGGATGAGGTGGGCAGAGGGTGGGAGGGATTCTGAAGTCCAGACCCCAACTGCATAGGAGGACACAGGCAGACCGGTGGGCAGGGCTCTGGCAAGGAGGTGTCTGGTCTGGCCTCTCCTCTGCCTCCCCAGAGAGTTCCTGGGTGGCCCGCAGGCCTGGCCCCTGCTGCTAGCCAGCTGCCTGGTCCCCGGGGTGCTCCAGCTCTCCACCCTGCCCCTGCTCCCCGAGAGTCCGCGCTACCTCCTCATTGACCGTGGAGATGCCGAGGCCTGCCTGGCAGGTGAGTCCCTGCCCTGGTCCCCAGATTACCCTTGACCCAGGGTACATCTCACTGGGGCATGTGGGTCCCCTTCTCTTGGGTTTCACTTGTCAGGGAAAGCTGTCCCCTTTGTGGTCCGTACATCCCTCAGAGCTCTTTTTATTCTGGGGGGGGGGGCACAGAGCATTGCTATGGGGCACATGTGCTCACCAGAGAGACAGAGACAGACAGAAAGCGAGAAATCACCCCCCAGGGGGATAGCCACGCCACAATCCCTTCTCCTCCATTCTCCTCTCGGGATTTTGGGCACGCACGCTTGCACTTGGGCCCAGTGTTGGGTCCAGGACTTGAACCACAGTCCAGCAACCTAACCACTATGCCATGTGCTGGTCCCGCCCCTTCAGAACCCTTTATCAGGGGGCTGACCTGATGCCAGGGCAGTGGGAGGGTCAGGCCCAGTCCCTGCCACCCAGGACCTCCTGGGTGGTACAGAGAAAGAGCCACACACACGTGTGAGGTGCACACCTGTGGCAGGTCTTGCCTGCCCAGTGCCAGCGGGTGAGACTGTCATCAGCTAACTGGTGACAGTAAGGATGCCCCAGGGACAATCACAAAGTCACCAGCTTAAAACAAAAGTTACTGGGACGAGCGGATGGCATAATGGTTATGTCACCGGACTCCCGTTTAGTTGACAGCAGTTCGAGTCCTGGTCCCAGAGGTTTGAAACTCATGCCGGGTTCACATGAGTGTGTGCCCAAAACTCCGAGAGGAAAATGGAGGAGAAGGGATTGCAGCATGGCCATTCCCCTGGGGGTGATTTCTCACTTTCTATCTCTCTTTGTCTTTCTGGTGAGCTCATGCACCCTATAGCAAAAATCTCTCGCTCAAAAAAAATTTTTTTAAGTCCCATGTGGCCGAACTCAGTTTGTCTCAAACCTGGTCACTTGGAACTCATGTGAGGCGTGACTGCTACGGTGTCCAAAATCCTGAGAGGAGAATAGAGGAGAAGGGACTGTGGTGTGGCCATTCCCCCCTAGGGGGAGATTTCTCACTTTCTGCCTCTCACTGCCTTTCTGGTGATTTCTGGCTTTCTGTTTCTCTGTCTCTGTCTGTCTGTCTGTCTGGCGAGCACATGTGCCCTATAGCAAAAACCTCTCTCCCCCCCAAAAAAAGTTATTTACTGGGACGAGCCAGGTGGTGTAATGGTAAGACAGCCGGATCCCATATGGCCAACGGGACTTGCGCGTCCTGGACATGGCTGGTTGAAAAACCTGCTGGGCGCGTGTGTGTGCGTGTCCAGGATCCTGAGAGGAGAACGGAGAAGGGGGATTGCAGCGTGGCTGCCCCTCATCCTCCAGGGGGTGATTTCTTACTTTCTCTCACTCCTCCTCTGGCGAGCACATGCGCCCTGTAGCAAAAAATCATTGACCGCAGCCTTTACTCATTTACTTGCCGGTGGCTGTGCAGCTTGGCTGATCTTAGCAGGGCTCACGGTATGGGGGGACGGGGTTGGCTGGGAGTGACCAGTCTATGCCGGGCTGGGCTGGAGCAGCTCAGCTCGGCTGCCAAATTTCCTCTCAGCCTTGGAACTGAAGTGCTAGCTAGAATGTTCTTTTTATTTTCTTTCAGTTTATGCCTTAGCCTGCTGCTGCGTTGCTTACGGAAATATCTGTGACTTTTTTGTTTGTTTGAGATTTTTGCTATAGGGCACATGTGCTCACCAGAGAGAGAGAGAAAGAGAAAGCGAGAAAGCGCCCCCCAAGAGGCTGGCCACGCTGCAATCCCTTCTCCTCCATTCTCCTCTTGGGATTTTGGGCATGCACACACACGTGCCTGATATGTTTCAAGCCACCGGGTCCGGGACTTGAACTGTGGTCAGCCGCTATCTCATCTGCTGCCCCCAATACCTGTGATTTATAAAGAATAGAGGTTCAGGAGCTGGCCTTGTTGCCTAGTGGTTAGGAGAGTCCGATTCCACATGGCCACCAGCAGTTCAAGTCCCGGCCCTGGTGGTTAGACAAACACATTGAACACACGGGCATGCCAGCCCCCAGATCTGGACGGGATGGAGAAATGGAGAAGGGATTGAAGCAGGACCATCAGGGGGTGCTTTCTCCCTTCCCCTTTCTCTCTGTCCCCTTGTTTCTCTCTGCACATACCCTCTGGAGACTCTTTGAAAAGAAAGAAATAGAGGTTTATTTGACTCACGATTCTGGTCCAAAGACAGGGCCAGCATCAGGCCAGCTATACCACAGCAGAGCTGATGGACACAGACGATGGCCGGTGTGTGCAGCGAGTGTGGCCTGGGGGCAGCCGTCTGATGTGAGAACTGACGTCTGTCATGAGAGCTAGAACTCGCTTGGTCCGCATTAGAATGAGTCAGAATTCATTCAGGCGGGCCATGTCTCCATGATCCACTCCCTGCACACTCAGCCTCACCTCTTAGAGGTTTTGCCATTCTCTCAATGTTCACTACACTGGGGACCGGAATTCAAAACATGAACCTGTGGGGATAAGCCATTATCCAAACCGTATTTCTCTCGTGAGCGAGGAGAGAGAGAGAGCCCTGCTGAGTCACTCCGCATTGCGACCCTCGCTGACCCCCCTAGCCTGCCAGGATCACACTGGCACGCCTGGATGTTCAGCTCAACCTGGGATCTGGACCTGGGCCTCCCGTGTGGCTCCAGGATCTCACGGTGTCACTCTACTGCCCGCACCACTGTGGCTGGGAGAGGAATTTATTTTATTTTTTTTAATTTTAGAGAGAGATTTTTTTTTTTGCTATAGGGCGCATGCACTTGCAGAGAGACAGAGATAGGTAGAGAGACAGAAAACAAGAAATCCCCCCCCTCCAGGAGAGATGGCCACGCCACAATCCCTTCTCTTCCATTCTCCTCTCGGGATCTTGGGCATGCACGCACACGCGCACACGTGCCTGGCATGAGTTTTAAGCCACCAGGTCTGGGACTTGAACCACACGCAGTCTACTACGTGAGAATCTAGCAAGGTAACCGTTACGCCATCTGCTGGTCCACAGAAATATTATGGTGATGGCAGAGATGTAAGAAACCAGGTCGAAGGCCAGCCAGTGGTATGGTGGTGAAGGTGGCTGGATCCAATATGGCTGACATTCAAATCCCAGATCTGGCATGCGTACGTGTGTGTGTGCACGCGCTCGCGCCCAAACTCCTGAGAGGGGATGGTGGGGTGCTTCCCCTCCAGGGAGATGGTTTTTCACTTTTCCTCTCTCTCTGCCTGGCTTTCTCTGGGAGGGCGCATGTGTCCTATAGCACTTTTTTTTTTGAAAAAAATTAATTTGGGAACCAGCAGTTAGCGTAATGGCTATGTCGCTGGACTCCCACGTAGTCGACCGCGGTTCGCGTCCCAGACCCGGTGGCTTAAATCTCACGCCGAGCGCGTGTGCGTGCGTGCCCAAGATCCCGAGAGGAGAATGGAGGAGAAGGGATTGCGGCGTGACCATCCCCCCTGGGGGGTGATTTCTCACTTTCTGTCTCTCTGTCTCTCTCTGTCTGTCTGGCGAGCACACGCGCCCTATAGCGAAAACCTCTCCAAAAAAAAAAAAAAAAAAGAAAAAAAAATTAATTTTATTTATTCATTTATTTAAATCTGACTAGAGAGAGACACAGAGAAAGAGAGTGAGAGGGAAAGTGAGAAAGCAAGCCACCAGGTCCAGGACTTGAACCATGGTCAGCCATGTGGGAGTGTCCAGCACCTTAACCACCATGACACCTGTTGGTCCCGCCTGATAGCATTTTTAAAAAAGAAAAGAGAAAGAAAGAGAAAGGAAATGCAGCTGCCTGAGTATTTCCCACAACTTTGGACCTCCCATGCCCATTACCATTCCCTTGGCCTAACGGACCGGGGCTGCTGAAATCCAGAGTCGAGGCCCAGGGAAACCGAGGCCGCAGTTCTTGGGGAAATTCGGTCTTAGTGGGCGATTGGAGGCCCGCAGAGCCTTGCTGATATTGTCAAAGTGTTCAGTGAAAACTCAGTCCCTTCAATGTCCCAGGTTGGGACTTTGGGCTTTGAGGAGAGGTGGTGACAGGCCATCAGGGTTGGGCCCCATGATGGCGTCCCGGTGTGGTTGTCAGGAGAGGCGGCGAGGTGGGTGGGGGCTGTACCACGCTCTGCTCTGCCTTCTCCTGGGTGTGAGGCCTGAACTTTCCAGCCACCAGAACCATGAGTTTTGCAAATAAACCTCTATTTTCTTTTTTTTTTTTTATCATTTATTTAATTGTATTTATCATTATTTTTAAATTTGCTGCAGGGCACATGTGCTCACCAGAGAGCAACAGGGAGAGAGAGAGACAGTGAGATAAGAAGCCATCAGATCCAGGACTCGAACTGCGGTCAGCCGTGTGGGAGTCCAGCATTCCAGCCACCAGGCCACCAGCTGTGACTTAAATCCCAGCCCGGAGAGCTCGAAAACTCACTGAGCGTGTGCGTGTCCACACCCCAGATCCCAGTGGATGGAGAAATGGAAGAGAAGAGATTGCAGTGTGACCGTGCCCCAGTGAGGGGGTGCTTTCTCCCTCTCCTCCGTCTCTGTCGAGCTTGTCCACCCTGTGGCAATTATTTTTTTTAAAGATTTATTTATTGGGAACCAGCAGTTGGTGTAATGGCTATGTCTCTGGACTCCCACGTAGTCGACCGCGGTTCGCGACCCGGACCCGGTGGCTTAAAACTCACGCCGGGCGCATGTGCGTGCGTACCCAAGATCCCGAGAGGAGAATGGAGGAGAAGGGATTGCGGTGTAGCCATTCCCCCTGGGGGGTGATTTCTCACTTTCTGTCTCTCTGTCTCTCTCTGTCTGTCTGGCGAGCGCATGCGCCCTATAGTGAAAACCTCTCCAAAAAAAAAAAAGATTTTTTTATTTTTATTTATTTTAATTTGACCAGAGAAAGAGACAGAGAGAGAGAGAGGGAGAGAGGGAGGGAGGGAGGGAAAATGAGTTAGCAAGCTGACAGGTCTGGGACCGATTAAAGGGGCAGGGCTAGGCCCAACTCAGATCCACATAGATTCTGGCTTGTCGCTGGCTCTCGGGCCAGAAGCTCTGTACCCTTTCTTGATCCAAAGACCTAAGACCCAAAAAGACAAAATCTTCTTACCCCTTCATATTCACCATACAATGGTTGAAGTGAGAGAGGATTAGTACTCTCATTTAAAGAATAAAGAGGATGGGGCCAGCGGGTGGTGTGGTGGGTAAGGTGTTGGACTCCCGCTTGGCCGACCGCAGTTCAAGTCCCAGACGTGGTGGCTTGAAAATTACATCAGGCATGGGAGTGCCCAGAATCCCGAGAGGAGACTGGAGGAGAAGGGATTGCTGCCTGGCCATCCACCTGGGGCTGATTTCTCGCTTTCCACCTCTCTGTCTCTCTTCCCTCTCTAGTGAGTGCATGTGCCCTAGAGCAAAAACCTTAAAAAAAAAATTAAAGAGAGTGGAGGGAGGCATAGAGCAGCCGCTGACCCACCGCAAATCTCAGTGCCTGGGAAACACTGCCTGGTCTACCTGCCTTGGGGGTGGGGAATGTTCCTTCGGCAAGTCTTGGCTCCGCCCCCTGGGTGGGGCTCCCCCCGCCCGTTTGTAAATTCTGTATAACCACCAGACTGTAGGCTGGCCCTGAGATGTCTCTCCTTCTCATCACCCTTTTTTTAAAAAAAATTATTTTTATTTTGTTATTACTATTTAAATTTTACCAGAGAGACAGAGAGAGAGAGAGAGGGAGAGTGAAAAAGCAAGCCTCCAGGCCCAGGACTTGAACCACGGTTGGCCATGTGAGAGTCCAGTGCCTTAACCACCGCGCCACCTGTTGGCCCGCATCACCTTTATACCTTCTGAAGAAGCATGGGAAAATGTGCAGCTTTTGAGCAATTTTCTCAATCTCCTCCCTGCCTATAGAAAGTCGGACCCCAGGGACCAGCAGTTGGCGTAATGGCTCTGTCGCTGGACTCCCATGTAGTCGACCGCGGTTCAAGTCCCGCAGTTCAAGTTCCGGATCCGGTGGCTTAAATTCATGCAGGGCACCTGTGTGTACGTGGGGGTGATTTCTCGCTGTCTCTCTGTCTCGTACGTGGGGGTGATTTCTCGCTGTCTCTCTGTCTCTGTCTGGTGAGCTTACACGCCCTATACCAAAAACCTCTCAAAAAAAAAAAAAAAAAAGAATTTCATCTAGGTTCGCATCAATACTCCAGCACCCCAGGGAAGTGCCAAGACATCTCGTCAGGAAGTGTTGGGGGTGGAGGGCTGTAGGAATTCCGGGGCTGGGGAGCTGAGCGCCTCCTGCTCCCTCTCAGCGCTGCGGAGGCTGCGAGGCACCCAGGACGTGGCTGCGGAGATGCGGGAGATGGAGGAGGAGCGCGCGGCCTGCCGCGGCCGCTGTGCCCGGCGCCCGTGGGAGCTGTTCCAGGATCGCGCCCTGCGGAGGCAGGTGATGAGCCTCGTGGTGCTGGGCAGTGCCATGGAGCTCTGCGGAAATGACTCGGTGAGGCTGCTGCCCGCCCCCCACCCTGGGCCCGGAGACCTTGTGCTGTGGGTACCTGGGAGCCACGGGAGGTGGAAGGGAGCAGGTGCCCGAGGGCCGCCTGTCTGCTCACCCCGCAGGTGTACGCCTACGCCGCCTCTGTGTTCCGGGAGGCGGGAGTGCCGGAGGAGAAAATCCAGTACGCCATCATCGGGACTGGGAGCTGGGAGCTCAGACCCAGCGGCTTAAGCCTCACACTGATACGTGTGTGTGCCTGCCCAAAATCGCAAGAGCATGGAGGAGAAAATATTCCAATGTGACCATCCCCTCTGAGGGGGTGATTTCTTGCTTTCTTTCTGTCCGGCGAGTGCATACACCCTATAGCAAAAACATCTTTAAAAAAAAAAAAGTATTTAATTTTATTTGTTATTATTATTTTTTTCTTTTCTTTTTTTGGAGAGATTTTCACTGTAGGGTGCGCTCGCCAGACAGAGAGAGACATAGAGACAGAAAGCGAGAAATCACCCCCCAGGGGGGATGGTCACGCCGCAATCCCTTCTCCATTCTCCTCTCGGGATCTTGGGCACGCATGCACACATGCCCAGCGTGAGTATTTTTAAGCCACCGGGTCTGGGACACGAACCGCGGTCGACTACATGGGAGTCCAGCGACATAGCCATTACTCTAACTGCTGGTTCCCCCCACCCCTATTTTGAGATGAGGAAACTGAATGGCAGCCGAGTGCCGGATTGGCCGACGTCCTCTAGGGAACCACTAATGTCTTAGCTCCTCAAACAGTGAACTGCCCCTTGCCCCCTTGCTCCTCCCGAGGGCCCCCCTGTCTGTCCCCAGAGGAGGGGCAGGGGCCCAGGGTGTGGGCCTGTTCTGAGGGGCGTTTTCCCTCTGCAGTGCGCGGCCATCGAGAGGGTGGGCCGGCGGGGGCTGCTCGTGGGCGGGGACTGCCTGATGACCTTCTGGGGGGCCATCTTCACGTGCCTGCAGGTAGCTGGGGGAGGGGGAGTGGCTGGCCCCATGGGTCTCCTCACCTCCTCACCTGCCTCACCTCCTTCAGACCTCTGTCCCGTGGGTGCCCTACCTGGCCATGTCCTGCATCTTCGCCTTCATCCTCAGCTTTGGCATTGGCCCGGGTGAGTGGGCACGGGGCTCCAGGCTCCCGTCATGCCCTGAAGGAACAGCGGTGTCGGGTGAACCATGGGTGGGGGTGGGGGTGAATGCACTGTCACCTGCAGGCCCGTGAGCCCACCTGTCACCTGCAGGCCCCCCGAGCCCACTTGTCACCTGCAGGCCCCTGAGCCCACCTGTGCTGAGGCTCTGGGAGGGTGCAGCTGGAGGGAGAGCACCCAGGGTCCTTGCAAAGACTGGGCTGTCCCCCACCTCATATTGGGGCCCAGGTTGGGAAGAGGGAAGGCAGGGAGCCTCGGTGGCCAGCCTCCTGCCCCTCCTCGCAGCCGGAGTGACCGGGATCCTGGCCACAGAGCTCTTCGACCAGACGGCCCGGCCTGCGGCCTACGTGGTCTGTGGGGCACTCATGTGGGCCATGCTCTTCCTGGTGGGGCTGGGTTTCCCCTTCATCATGGTAAGCCCCACCCCCACCCCCACACCAGGGAGCCCCCATCAGCCTGAGAACCCCAGTGGGAGGCCTCCTTCCTGGGACACTGAGACTGAAGGGGAGGAGTCTTGCATGAAGCAAGAAGACAAGTCCCTCCCCACGGGGCCACACCAGGGTCGTCTCTGCACCCACAGGAGGGCTTGTCCCACTTCCTCTATGTGCCTTTCCTTGGCGTCTGTGTCTGCGGGGCCGTCTACACTGGCTTGTTCCTCCCCGAGACCAAAGGCAAGACCTTCCTGGAGATCTCCGAGGAACTGCACAGACTCAATTTCCCCAGGCGGGCCCCTGGCCCTGCATGGAGGGGCCCAGAGGTCATCCAGTCCACAGAGCTCTAGCTGCAAGGCCGCCGCTGCCTGCTCCTGACTTCCTGCCGAGGGCCTTGGCACCTGGGGCCAGCAGATGGCGAAGCTGTTATGTCGCTGGACTTCTACATGGCCAATCTCATGGCTTGAAACTCACACGGGACATGTGGTCTCAGGAGAAGGGATTGCGGCATGGCCATCACCTCCAGGGGGTGATTTCTCACTTTCCCTCTCTCTGTTTCTGTCTCTGTCTCTGTCTCCTGCACGCACATGTGCACTAAGGTAAAAACCTTTAAAAAAAAAATGCTGTTATATACCTACTGTCTGCAGACATGGTGCCAGTGGTGAACCGGGGAGACGGGAGCCCCAACCTCTTGTCCCTATCTGGAAGCAGTTATGTGACAAGAAACCAATAAACACACCTAATTAAAAACTTAGGGGTTGGGGAACCCAGCCCGTGGTGTGATGGTCGAGGTGGCTGGATCCTACATAGTCGACCGCATGGTTCAAATCCTAGATCTGGAGGCTCGAAAAACACACCAGGTGCATGTGTGTGCTCAAAATCCTGAGAGGAGAATAGAGAAGGGATTGTGGTGTGGCCAT